AATGTTCTAATGTTTTTTATATTTTTTTCCATCTAGATATCAAATAAAAAAGAAATTAAGATAAGAGTATGCTGGAAAAAGCTTCAGTCTCAGCTAGCAGCTACTAGCAGCTCAGAAGTGCCTGAAATATCCACCTTCCTTCAGGCCTGAAAGGAGGCCCTGCAGGATGGGGGTGAAACCACATCTCTTGAATGTGTTCCTAGTCCCTTGTGGTTAGCACTTGTGGTTGGTATTGCCAAACAGGCCAGCCAAGAAACTGAGAGTAAGGGGCTTCAGGGCATGAAACCCCTGAATCAGTAAGAGCTAAAGACCCTTCCAGATTGCTTTCTGATAGGACAGCAATATTTAGAGTTTTCCTCACAGTGAGGTTACATTAGGCAGAAGATGATTGGCTTGTGGATATTGCCTTACTTATGTATGATTGACAGGCATGCCCCACTCAAACCCTATAACTGTTGTGTGCATTCCAAAAATAAACTGAGCTACAGGAAGACGACCTGAGGCGGGTCTCCAGCCAGTTCTCTCATCAGCTCCCGGAGTCTGTGTGTGTTGATTCTGCATCTCTACCCCCCTCCTCCCCTGCAACAAGGTAGCGAGTGACCATCAATCACGAAGAGACTAGGAACACATTCAAGAGTATATTTTCTTTTCAGTCTTAATATTATCAATATTTCTCTGTTAGAAAGCCTTGCACAATTAGGCAAGGGAATTTATTTTCCTCCCTTGCTATTTATCTGTACCTCTGCTGCACTCTCTGAAAGCCTGATTTTTGTTGGGTTGTATTGTTGACATTTCTATTCTCCCATCAATGAGCAATCTGTGTCCTTGTTGTAGTACTCAGACTCTTTACACACCACCAGGTTAAAGTATAGGAGGTAATTTGCAGTTCTTTGCTTCACACACAATTAGGCTTGTTCAATTCCTATGGTATCCACTACAGAGCAATGAAAGGGAATACTAACATCCATACTCTGGGACTAGGATAGAAGGTTACTATGCTTTCTTTGTCCCTTCTCTGCTCACTTCTCTCTGATAGTTTAAACAATCACTTACTCAACAGCACCCTGTAACTTTTCTTTCTTTCTCTCACTTTTTGTCTTTCCTGTTTTTCTTCCTATTCCTCATTTCACTTGTTACTGGTTTCATGTATCAGAAGTCTCAAAAGTCCAAGGATGGACTTTTACCCTTCATAGAGACTGCATTCTATTCACAGCAACAGTTTTGTTTTGCTTTGTTTTCTGTAGTTATCTAGCCTTGTAGGCTTTTCCCTGGAAAGTTTGCTGTTTAGTCAGTTTTCTTTACTGCTGTGACCAGAAGACTGATAAGAAGAATTACAGAAGGAAAGGTTTAATTGGGGGATCATAATTTCAGAGCTCTGAGTCCATAGATGGTCACCTCCTTCATCTGGGCCTGGAGGTAAGGTAGAACATCATGGTGGAAAAGTGTTTGTGGAGGAACATGGCTTAGGACATGTCACCAGAAAGCACAGAGAGGGAGAGAGATCCACTCATCAGGGGAAAAATAAATAACCCAAAGGCATATCGCCAATACCACCCCCTCTAGCCACACCCTATTTACCTACAATTACAATCCAGTTAATCCTTGCCAGGGAATTAACACACTGATTAGGTTAAGACTCTCATACTCCATTTCATCTCTGAACACTCTTGCACTGTTTCACATGTGACCTTTTGGAGGATACCTCATATTTAGATTATAACATTTACCCAGAAACTACTTCTTACACATTAAAAACTATTTGGGCCCGACCCAGTGATGCAGGGCTATAATACCAGAGGTTCCAGAGACTGAGGCAAGAGGGTCACAGGTTCAAAGCCAGCCGCAGCAAAGTCAAGGCACAAAGTAACTCAGTAAGACCCTAAATCTGAACAAAATACAAAATAGAAATGTGGATATGGCTTAGTGGTGGAGTGCCCCTGAGTATATCCAGTAACACCCTCAAAAAAAAAAAAAAAACTATTTGGATTTAAGTCAGTATTTCAGGCCAGAATTACTTTAAAAACCGGAGGATTTTACAATCTGTTTTTTTGGTATCTATTAGTTCACAATTTGTTGTATTGTTTTCTCTTTCCTGTGCCTTTATAACCCTTATATGTCTAGGAATATGAAATTTTTTTTCCTATAAGATGAATGATTTGCATGATATAATTTTATAATATCTTAGCCATGTCAGGAGTTTGTTACACATTTTGAGCCTGACCTGGCTAAATAACTACAGATTTTAATTTTTTTTTCCGTGATACCAATGAAAATGCCTCATAAGCCAATTTTTATTTATAAATGTCTACCTAATAGTATGCTCTAACAAATTGGATGGATGAATATTGAGTGTGAGTCTAGTGCTGTGGCATCACAAGGTCTTTAATATGCTATAATTATAATAATTATACTTATTAGTGGGATAGATAGTGCTATATGTGATCAGCTCTGTTAACTTAATGGCGGAAATTAACCAAGCCAGAAAGTTTAGTGATATGCTTAGAAAACTCATTGTGCATCCAAGCCTGAATAAAACTCTCAATGAATGAACTAACCCTGAGGCAAGAGCACAGCTGCCTTTTAAAATAATTTTAATTTTGAGATATTGTAGATTCACATGCAGTTATGAGAAAAATCTTTTAAAAATTCTTTGTACCCATTACACACTTTCCTAACTGGTAACATCTTGGGAAAAAATAAAACATTATAACCAGGTTATTAAAATGATAGATTTGCCCATCTTCTTTAGACTTCCCTAGTTTTACTTGTGCAGATTTGTGTGTATGAGTGTGCTTAGTTCTATGCAGTTCTATACACATGGGTATATTCAAAATTATGAACAGTTTCAACATCACAAGGGTTCCTCTTGCTGCCATTTAATTAACAAATTATCACCCCATCCCCATTTCCAAACCTCTATAAACTACAAGTCTGATATCTATTTTTAAATTTTTGTCATTTTAGGAACTTCATATAAATGAAATTATACAAAATACAACTTTATGGTAGTGACTCTACTTTTACCTAGTATGATAACCTGAAGATTCATCCAAGTTGTTTCATGTGTCAATAATCTGTTCATTTTCATTTTTATTGTTAAATATTATTTCATACTATGAATGTAGCATATTTTGCTTTATGAATCTAATGAGGGACATCAGGGTCCCACTACTCTGGGATTATTAAAAATAATTTTCATGTATACTTGTAAACAGGTTTTTATATGAATGTAAGCTTTCATTTCTTTGATATAAATATACAAATAAGATTTTCTGGGTTGAATTATGATTTTTGTTTTATGAAAAACTTCAAATTTCATATTTACACCAGCAGTGTATATGAAACCCAGTTGTCAGCATTCTTGTTAGGTTTAATATCATGATGTGTTAGTTTCAAATTTGAGATCATTCCAGGTGCAGTAGCACAAACCTATAATCCCAGAAGTTTAGGAAGCTAAGGCAGGAGGATTGATAGTTCAAAGTCAGGCTCAGCAATTTAGCAGGGTCCTATGCAACTCAGAGAGACCCTGTCTCTAAAAAAAAATAAATTAAATGGGCTGGGAATGTGACTCAGTGGGTAAGTGCCTCATGTTCAAATTCTGGTACCAATATAATAATAATAATAATAATAATAATAATAATAATAATATAAAAATAAAATTTGAGATAACATAATCTTCCCTTTCTGAATATGGATAATTAAAAATATTTCTTCATAATGTCTCATTGTAAAAATTGTCATATACAATCCAGGATCATAGTATGTTATTAGAAGTCAATGTCCATGTATGATCTACAAATAAGGACTGACAGATTCACTTGACAATTAAATTCGCTCTGATCCCCTGAAAGATGAAGAACAAGCATTCCTTAAAGTAGTTCTGAATTTCAACTGAGAAGTATGACTGTTGTAGCTAAACAGATACTGTAACCTAAATCACTAAAATAACTATAAAATTCAAAACTGAATATTGTCAATGCTTTCATAATCCAGTACAAGAGTGAATAAAAAAGAAAAATGTTTTATACACATGATTATAAACATAGTTTTGATACCTAATTCAAATTAGTAGGTATCTTTTCTAGTTATACAGAATAAAATACTCAGCATGCATTATTAGATGATTCAACAGATGTACTTCATGGGTAAACATGAGCTCTTACCATCAATTCCACAGTGAAGTTGTATAACGCTTAATAGGTAGTTGTCATGTTATTCTTAGATCAGTTTTCATTTAGGAATAACTGGAATATAATATAGACATATTTTATTATTCAAATTGTGTCAGAAAACATAAGCACAATGAAGCCAGTATGGCAGATCCATAATAGCAGTGCCTAAAATATGGTATTTTAAATTGTGTAAATAACTTTAAATTACATTTTAATGCACAGGGTCATAAGCATATTATATAATTTTTAGAGAGATAATTATGTCATCATTATATAGAATCCAGTATAGGAATAATATTTGAACCTAGTAGTCCACTTATTGGATGCATTCAAAGTCTGGGTAAGACATAAAAAGGGTGTGAATGATTGGAAATAACTTGAATGGCTTTTTTGATGCCATGGATTAATTAATGCCATTTCCCAATTTAAACACAAACTATTCCATTTGCAGTTTCTTGATCTTTTCTGATCATGCAATGTCTGCCTTAGGCATATCCTTGTTTAAACCATACAATTAATACCCATGTGATTTGTGAGTATAAAAGTACATACCTCTCCTGGTTATATGAAGGTTAAACAACTTCCTACACATTTAAGGACCATATAAAAATACCTGAGATCCAAATGTTCTATTTTGGACATTTTAGTACATTTTATAGCAGAGGAAGAAAGCAAATAATATACTTGATACACAAATTTAAGAATTAAATTTAGTATAATCTTCCTTTAAGCTTTCCATAGATATTTAAGCATATCCATATTCTGTGTTCAAATTAATCATGTACTAAATGCCATCGCACACTAAAATTTGTTTTCCTGAATGCACAGGTACCTCTGTTCTACAGGTGACAGCTACTGATGCAGATGACCCTACCTATGGAAACAGTGCTCGAGTGGTTTACAGTATTCTCCAGGGACAACCTTACTTCTCTGTAGATCCCAAAACAGGTCAGTGTGTTTAAAAATAATCTTTGGTCAAGTTCTGTTATAATAGAACAAATCAAAGTTTTTAAAATTTATAATTTCTCTTCCTAATCACATATTGTATTTCAATACATTTGAAAATATACCTAATTTTTTAAAACAATGTAATTGAATAAAGATAATAGCTTTCTTTATTATTTTAGTAACCCACACATGTACATTAAGAAACAACTTATCTTTGAATATTCCTATAATATATAAGTAAACATGGTTTTAAACAAATACAGAATATCATATATATATATATATAGAATGAGATATTTAAACTATTTTTAACTATTGGTTTTAATTATTTGCAAAAAAATAATTGCTTCATTAAGATTTTTTCATAGTTTTATTTAAATTTAGTTGTCTCATAAATTATCAGATACACGTAAGTACATATTGGCATATATATTCACATGCATATATATGTATAATTATATTGAAGTAACTTGTATGCCATGCACATATATGTATAATTATATAAACATGCATATATATGTATAATTATACTGAAGTAACTTGTATGCCATGAATTGGCACTTTTCATAATAAGCAAATTCTTAATTCCTCAGATATTATATATCTAAAAAAATTAATTGAGAATTACTCCAAAGAACTATACTTTTTTTTTCAAGTAAAAAATATAGATCTTGTTCTCTTTCTTTCATGTACTCCTGGCAAACTAATCATTCATATCTTATCATTTAAAATTGGGAATGAGGCCAGGTGCAGTGGAGCACACCTGTAACCCAGAAGCTCAGGAGTCTGAGACAAGGAGGATCAGGAGTTCAAAACCAGCTTCAGCAAAGGCAAGGCACTAAGCAACTCAATGAGACACTATCTCTAGATAAAATACAAAATAGGCCTGGGGATGTGACTCAGTGATTGAGTGCCACTGAGCTCTATCCTCCATACAAAAAAAAAATGGGAATGAAGAATATTTAATATTGCATTACAGATTTGTGGTGTCAGCATAATCCAAAACCAATTTAAAAACAGGGTGTCCTTTCAGGGATTGGTGGCACACATCTGTAATCTCAGCTACCTTGGAGACTGAGGCCAGAGGATCCCATGTTTGAGGCTAACCATGACAAATCTTGTTTCAAATTAAAATTAAATAAAAAAGAAGGACTGGGAATGTAGAACAGTGTAGAGCTCTTTTGAGTTCAATCCCCAGTAGTCCTCCCTGCCTCCAATCAATAAATAAACAAAAATTTAAAAACATAGTCTTCACTGGCAATCATTTTATCCCTAGAATTTTGGAATATGAATATATCTATCTATCTATCTATCTATCTATCTATCTATGATAGATAGATAGATAGATAGATAGATAGATAGATAGATAGATAGATAAATCTCCATTTGGCCATAAATACTCATTACTTTAAGGTAATTACATGACATCCAACTCATTTTTTTAAGGAATGCTGCTCCATGTCTCCATGTGCCAACAGATTGCAGCTCTTTTTTTTTTTTTTTAACCAATTGTGTGAGACAATGAGGTACATCCAACTAAAAAGATTCAATTCTTAAGCACACTTCAAAGCCTAACCACTGGGTTGTTTGCCAGGAGTTTTGTCATTATCTTGTTTACAAGAGGATTTGACTTCACTTGCCTTGTTCCTTCCCTGAGGTGCTGAAACAGGCAAGTTCCCTGCCAAGAGTAGACCTCAGATATACTGCTCCATTCTTTGCTTCCCAAAGGAAAATAATGAAGAACTATATAGCTGGAAGTGTAGGAGTGAAGGGTACACATACAATTGTATGTGACCACATGACATGCATATTAATTACGGTTTGGATTGTAATATGCCAGTATATAAATTCAAATGGAAACTGGAATTATTACAAACAAGTAACATAATGTAATCTAAACTAAGTATGTCACATACAAGGTACTTTAGTTCCAAGGAATTACTACATAATTAGAAAAAGTATTTATTAACATAGTAACCAAATTGATAAGACAAAATTTTCCCTTATGTGTGTCCATTTTTTTAATCAGGTAGAAGAACTTAGAATTAGTTAAAAAGCTCAAATCAACTAATTAATTTATATTGATATTGGTTATTTTGTTCTGTTCCCAAAATCATCATGTTTTTATTTTTATCCCTATATATAATCAAAGTTTTAATTATAGATAAATATTATATTTACTTAATAGATTATTGCTAAAGCATATGCATTCAGTATGGAATATATTGGAATCCTATACTCTTATTATGCATATGATTATTTAACAAATATTAGTTCAGTGTATGTGTATGAGTGTGTGAAAGTTTGCATATGCTTTGCTAGAGCACATGACTGTTTGTGTTCATTTGTAAGGACAAAGCAGGACTCTGAGGATAATGTTGGACTAGTGTTGGACTCTGTTATAATTTGTTCTTTACTAGAAATATTTATTTAATAATATAATGTTTCAATAAAGTTTGTATTTGGTTATGTATACTTAATATAGATTAAGTAAGTACTTCACTAATCACCAAAACTATTTACCTTAGAAATAAATGGGAATTACTCACTTTCCTCTGCATGAAATTTTATTTGCTCTTACATTTCTTTGCTCCTTTCTTTAAGGGATATGATGTACTGAATGAAATGCACATCTCTACAGTGATACATTTTATTCTCAGTATTAGACATGCATCATGGGAAACTGCAGATGTATGTCCTAGTATGTGATTAAGGGAAGAAAGAGAATTTAAGGCTTCTTAAATATACAAATGTGGTAGGGAGTTAGTTGCAGAAGGTGTTAAGAAAAGGTATGAAATAAGATTCTCATTCATCTCTTCAAAGCTAAGACTTTTTTTGGCAATCTGTGCTTTAAAACCTATAACCACACAATTAGACTTATTCAGAACTAATAAATTTATTTGAAATCATGCTTTCAAATGACTAGAATAAAATATGAACAAATACTCTGAAAATTAAAGAATCGTTTGTTTTAAATGGGATGTTATATAAGAAATGTGGGGGGCTGGGGATGTGGCTCAAGCGGTAACGCGCTCGCCTGGCGTGCGTGCGGCCCAGGTTCGATCCTCAGCACCACATACCAACAAAGATGTTGTGTCCGCCGAGAACTAAACAATAAATGTTAAAAATTCTCTCTCTCTCTCTCTCTCCCCCCCCTCACTCTCTCTTTAAAAAAAAAAAAGAAATGTGGGGATAGCAGTCATTTATTAATGTATGGTTTAATAGCATCTCTTAATTTCATTTCCATAATCAAAATGATTACATCTCATTGTGCTTTTCAATTACTTTCATTCAATACCAACTATAATGAAGCATAACTTTTGTCTCCAAATAGAGTTGTGACTAATTATGACTAAGATCAGTATATGAATTACCTTGTCTCCATTATATTAAAAAGTATGTATCTGTATCCATCTGACTTTCTAATGATGAACTGACTATGATATCTTGTCCTTTGACAATATAAGTCACCTATGAAATGACTGCATCCAAAAAATAATTATATGGCTGTTTAGTTAGCATAATATTTAGAATTTATTTTTAAACCTCTGAATATCCAACTCATTTTTTATGGAATGCGGCTCCATGTTCCATGAGTTGAAGTACCATTAATCAAATAGTAAAATCAACCAGACCTTATGGATAATTTATTGCTCTAAGTAACTTTGGTTGAGATAACTATGGTACAACGTTGCTCAGCATAAGACCATGAAATGAAATACCAAAGAAATAGAATATTTCTGATCAGATTAATGTAATGATAACATTTTATAGAGATTAAATGAGTAAAATGGTTTATCATTCAAGAAGGCAGGTACACCTAAGCAAGACATTCTGAGGAGGGCTGCCCAAAGAGAAATTGTAATAAGTGATTAGAAAATCAAATTCAAGAGCAACCTAGAATGAAGATTCCTTAGTAACAAAGGTCAAGTCTCAATTCTTATTAATGTAGTATCAACATCATTAAAAATAAGTCAATATATTAAAGAAGCTGATGTCTTTTCAGAATTTATGAACATTCTGTCAGGTGGTGACAGCAGAAGCTGAATTTATCAAGTTGCACAAAAGAACCCGTTCCCTTAACTTAGGCCAAAGAATCATAAATCAGTCCATTTCTCTTAATTTCTCCTTCTTTCTTTAAAATTGACAAGAATTTCCATAATACATGACAGACTGTAAGAAAAGTTTGAGATAGTCTCATCTCAGATAAAACAAACAAATAAATAAATAAAATATTTATTAAGAAAATTTTTAGTCCAAATTACTATATATATATATATATATTTAAGAAGTAAATGTGCTACTTATGATCTCTTATGTGGTAAAATGTCTTTGCAAGTATTTAAAGATGCTTTTGATCGATACCATACAAAAGAGAAATACACCATTTGAAAGTTTTTTTCTTGTGTATGTATGTGTGTGTAGTTGTAGTTGGATAGAATGCCTTTATTTTATTTGTTTATTTTTTTTATGAGAGTCCTAGAATCAAATCCAGTGCCTCACATGTGCTAAGCAAGCACTCGGCCATTGAGCTATCGCTCCAGCCCTTAAAAAGTTTATAATGATAATTTAAAAGAAGAAAGAATTAAACAGTAAAATACTCAGAATTTAACTGCAGAGTTGATTTTCCTGACTCAGAATAGTGTGTAGATGAGGCAAGCAAGCCTACTCTTTTTGAGATAGATCTGCACCCACACTAGCTTTGGTTCTCCAAGATGACCTTTCTTTAACATCTTATAGTAGAAATCAATCAAATCTAAAAACAGACTCAGAGAAGCTCTCAATGAATCTTAGAATGTAACTGAAGGCAAGGTTTTCAACATTCCTTCTTTATTCTGAGTAAGTAATTAAACTCATCAACAGTTTTGATTTTTACATAATTTCCCAAATCTAATTTAATTTTATCAGTGAGCAAAAATATTACATTTAAAGTTACTATGAATGTTTGGAAAAAGAGAACTAAAGCATCTTTAAAAGTTCTATAGATTTCAATGTTCATT